TTAGAAATTCAGCGTATTCTCTCACACCATTTGCTTTAGAAAGCCTAACGATATCCTTCAGAACCACCTATAGAATAATTACTACGATACTAGATTGTAATTATTCGATTCGAGAAAATTCTAAAAATAATTAACTAAATCAATATAAGAGTCGAAAATTGCTAGAACACAGCATCACAGATAAAACGCAAACGTGCAGAGTCAGCCCGTGTGACAAGGCTATTTGCCACACTGCAAGCAAGATCCACGAGGGCAACAGGCAGGGACGTATTTCTGCGTCTGTATTTATGAAAATTCATTAGGTCAAGCCTGGCACAATTTTAACAAACCGGCCGAATGTATAGATTCTCTTAAATATGTTACGCATCAACAAAAGAACAATCTGGAAAGAAAATATTTTATAAGACAGATGTATTGTTTAACCATGAAGGCACTTGCAAAAAACAAAACATGTTTGATATATTTTAATGTTGCTAGGACAGGTACGTCGCACAGAGGAAATAAAGGCGGAATGTTCTTCGCGTCTCTCTCTCTTTCTCTCTCTCTCTCTGAGTGAGTGAGTGAGTGCGTGTGTGTGTGTGTGTGTGTGAGTGTGAGTGTGACTGTGTGTGTGTGTGAGTGTGAGTGTGACTGTGTGTGTGTGAGTGTGAGTGTGAGTGTGTGTGTGTGCGTGTGTGAGTGTGTGTGTGTGTGTGTGTGTGTGTGTGTGTGTGTGTGTGTGTGTGTGTGTGTGTGTGTGTGTGTGTGTGTGTGTGTGTGTGTGTGTGTGTGTGTGTGTGCGCGCGCGCGTACGATTATTAGAATAAACGTTTTAAAACTTTTCAGATATATCTTACTTGCCTCAACAAACTGCTTCAGGTTGTAGGCCTGGAATTCCTGGTTAAATGCGTAAGCATGGCATGTCACTCTTCCCAACATTGACCTGCGAAAATAGTAAGGAATGACCCATTTTTATATTGCAGATATGAAAATGCTGGTTTCAGAAGTTACATTGCTTTCCAACACATTTCCTTACCATTTCCGTAACAAATTCTGTATGCCTTTATCCTCTTGATGGACGAACTTCCTGTATGGTAGATTAATAAAAGTATATTCCATGGTAACGCGAATCCTTCGGTGTCTTTTCTCTGCCCCTGTGTATAACCTCTTCGGTTGCTATGGTAACAAATGCTAGTCCCTAATGCCGAACGGCTTTTATAATCTTGATGGCATTATATAATGACCCATACTAGTATATTTTGAAATTAGAGTGTTAGTGTTTGTCAGATGAAGCCGTTGCAGGCCTAACCCATAGATTTTATTTGACTGAACGCATTTCCTATAGAAAAGGCGGCCGGAGAGTGGAGAGCGGTGGGCTCCCCGGCCAATGGACGTCGCGATCTCTAGCGGCAGCCAATGAGAATTCGGCTTCTAGGCCCCGACGCTTCCACCTCTGGACGTCAAGAGTGTCACAACAATCTTCAATTACAGTGAGCCCGTGGGTGCTCTGAGAACAATTGTGAAATATGAGAATTAAGCTGGATCTCAGCGACTTTTTAGAAGATGAAAGGAAGCTGGTGGTGCTGAGTGTCAATGAGGAGGAGTCGCGGACGGTGCGGGATGTGCTGGCCAAGATTATTAAGCTGTTCAAGTTGAGTCCATGGCACCAGGACGCAGGTGAGGACATGATGCTGCTGCCGCCCAACATAGCATTTCGCATACATAGCGCACTGTGCAAATGCAGTGTCATAGGGTGTTTGTCGGAAACAGTAGAAATCTTGTTTAAAGGTTCAGAGAATGATTGTCATGGGTGGATACAACTTTCATAGGTCAATGGTCAATCCCATTTTTCAATTTACCAAAGCCATTATTTGGTATTATTTGATAAACCTTACCAACAAATTAATTTAATATGTAATTTATTGGTAAATTTCTAGACAGTATTAGGACTCACATTATATACATTCATTAAAATGTCATAGCCTAATAGACTAGCGTTCGGGGATATTGTCTAAGTTGGGAAAACTGTAGATGCCACTTGTTTCGGTAGAAGCCCAAAACCTTGTAATTTTGACATCTTGAATGCTGTGACGATGCCACTTGTTTTGCTAGAGGCCATAAACCTTTGTTAATATGAACCATCTTGAATGCAAAGAGTATTGTGGGCATCCCGGGTATAAGTAGTACTATGTCCCACATAGATAGGTACAGAGGCAGGTGTCTCCTAAATGATTATGTTTTTATGTTTGATTTATCCTATATGTAGTTAGCATTTTGGTCAATCTTTACAGTGTGAATGCACTAAGATAGGGGGAAATTAAGATGATATTCTTGTTGAGGACAAAAAGTTGTAGTTGTCAGAACAAGAAGTAGTTTGCAGACACGAACGATAACTCCACAAATAAAGGAAAGAGATTACAGAAAGTGCCGCTCACAGCCTTAGTCTACTTGGTTCTCTTAAGTTTCAGCTCTATCTTGCAGTGCATATGAGGTGAAGACCTGGGGTGGGGGGGTGCTCAAT